CGCAAATATTTTGATTTCAGGCCGGCGCCGACGTTCGTCGGCGGAAATTTCTCTATGTACGCCAGGACGAACGCTTTCGTTCTTCATCGTCGGGGAAGAGAGCGGTTGAATAGCAACGCGCCCTTTTCCAATTACGCTTACCCCTTTCAGGGGGTTATTGAATGGGGACGTATAACAAGGGGCTTATGTATTATGTATCGAAATTTCATATCGCCGCGCCGTCTTGTGCACGTCATTAATTTTCATTCTGACCTTTCACGATTATTTGGCTTCAGGCCGATCTTAACAATATTGCCAAAGGTAATCACGTAGTTACTAAATCTCCATATTTTTTTCTCTGGATTTAATATAATATAAATAGTACTGGTTTTATAAAAGAAAGGAGAGAATTGTCAATACTGTACGTACGTTCCCTCAAATCTCCTCCACCAAAGCGAAACGCAATTCTACACAAAATCAAATCAGAAACGAATTGAAACCCATGTTTTCAAAATCCGATTGTTGTCACGTTTGCTGTCGCATAAGTCGTTTAACTCACATTCACAGGTAGTTGATTTTCGTTGTTCGGATTTCACCGGCTTCACGGCGCGTTCGGTCGCGCTCCATGCTTGCCCGCAAGAATGGGGGACCTCGAGTTTCGGTCCCCGCAATCTGCCCCCGCGTACTTTATTTCGGAGAGCGCTCCGCTAACTTTCGCACGAGTTACAGGATCACATTTTTACACACGACGGCAATTTTTGTGTAGATGGAAAATTGACGAATTTGTGAAAAAAGAAGAAATAAATAAATTGCGTAAACTAATCAAGATAATGTATTTTCTAACTGGAAGGAAATAAGATCTATTCTTCAAAATTCTAGAAATAATAATGGAAGAGAAATGTATTAAATAATTGGTAGTCGATTATTTAATTTAATCATTTATAGACCTGCTCTCGGCGTTTCGGGGGGTGGTCTGACATTCAAGGTTTCGGCTGCTGGATGAACCAAATTTCAGGTAACTATGCGAAAGATCGATCGTCGTGCTCGTCGTTCTATGCACGTTGTACGTACGGGCTACCCTGCACGGTTCGCGTGATTTCAATCGCGGAACACTTTGACGTCCCGATATATCGAAGCAAGGATAAAAAAGACCCGATGCTTTATGCGGCTGCATGTATAGCTCGGCGATTGACTCCATTCTGCGCTTTCCCCGCTTTTCGTGCCGACATGCCGTGTTCCTCGCTCGATGAACAAAGAACAATAAACAGCCAAAAACACGTGATTACCTTCGACAATTCCGAGCCGTGTTTTCGAGCGCCGCGGACACGGTGGCAAGAAGTAGCGACGGGGAATGATACTTAAGCGTCTTAAATGTTTCTTACGGTCTTGGATTACAGCGTCGTGACGATAAAATTATCGAGAAACCTGTTACTTGTGGTTACAAAGATTATTCAATTAATTTAAATACCTTTTATATCGCATATAAAGAATTCTGTTAATTTTAATATGGGTAACGCATGTAAATTTAATATGCGGATGATACGTGTAATTTTAATATGTTGCAAGTTGCAATGCGTGCAGTTAATTTTTCCATGGACGAGTTCGTTGAAACAATGCTGATTGTTTTTTATCGGAAAAATAATTGGACGTAATAAAATTTGAATATTAATTTGCCGACAAATTACATTTTTACTGAATATAAAAAAAATATATTGAGATTGAGTAACAGACGAATGAAAGTGCTTGGAAGCGAAGCTTTCGAAGGACAATATTTCCTCTCGCGAATATTACATTAAATATGACATCTCCCTTCTGGAAAATCTTGAAAGAACAGACCTTTCGTTTTTCCCTTTTGCTTCATTATGCATTATTTATCTTACTGAGTTTGCCACTGCGCATTGCGTCATCTCGTAATCTACTTATCCATAAAAGTGGAACGTAGGTCCTTCCGCATTGTGAAAAGTGCGGCTGTTTGAAGTATTAACTTGTCGTTGTTACTCCGCGAGAGAGAGAGAGAGAGAGAGAGAGAGAGAGAGAGAGAGAGAGAGAGAGAGAGAGAGAGAGAGAGAGAGAGAGAGAGAGAGAGAGAGAGAGAGAGACGTTTCTCGAAGCATATATTCGTATTCCTCGAACAGTAAGTTACGTCCATTGCTAGGGTCGATACCGCGATAATGTCTGGAATTATCGATCGGCATTAATGGGCTTCTCCTCGCATCGTGAAAATCAAGAATGACAGGGGGGAGAATCCAGGATACACGAAACTTTTGTGAGTCAGTAAAAACCCTCTTCATTGAGAGTAACGAAGAGAACAATACTGAAAGGGAAAATTAATTCCTAAAGGATTAAATACATCACGGAGCTGCTATTAATATTGAAAATATGGATTTTAAATTAAAAATATAATCGTACATTATAAATATCTTATTGTAGTAACAAACAGTAGTAAATCGTAGTTGAATTTAACACTTCGGTAAACTTATTCAAATTTGAATGTTTCGTCGAGAAAAAATTTCGTTCGTGAAAACGCAAGACACGCAAGAATTATTCGCATTATTGTCCGACAGTTTCTTCCAATAAGATAATTCACGTTGTAGGACGTATTGAGAAGTATTAACGGCAAGATTGAAAGAGCGTGTTTGTCATCGTGTGTTTGCGTCTCATTGCCACCCTGTGACCCACCCTTTCGCGTAAGCGTACGCCAACTGTTATAGGGGTTCTAAAACAATACAAGCACGGGATGCTGACGTATCTGTAGCACTTTATCGCGATGTATACTCGACGGATTTACAATTTACGATCCTGAAACGAACAGAGATTGAAATCCGGCTGCATGTGTTACGTGTGTGTGTGCGCTTCGCCGTGATGTTTTTAAAGTCAACCTTGTACGTACGTAGACTCGTAATTTGTACGACTGAGAATGACGCAGATCACCCTCGCAATAAAATCAACTTAATACGATACTTGAAACGCTATTTTTTCAATCAACGCCACGCACAGTGTTAATATTACACTGATCAAAATTACAAATTTATGATCTTGCAAATTAAATTCCAGCTTTAGATAATATTATATTTTTATCCTTAACACCCAATTTTATTAACGCATAAAAATAAAAATACAGTAGGACTACACGCAAGAAATATTGCATAAATTATAAAAATTAGATATTTCAAACTGATCTAAGAACAATAAAATACTTACATGCTAAAAAGTAACGTACACAAAATGATATAACTTGCATTATATTTTAATTCTTATATAGTTTAACATATGAAACATGTAACTCTTGTAATAGCGATTTTATAATTATGGAAAAACAAAATTATAATATTTCACTCTTAATCTGCTGAAATGTCGAGCTAAAGAGCCTTTATATATACGAATTTTGCGTTTCTGACAACGCCGCTCCGACTATCCCTCTTTCAAGCACCCTTCCGCAGTTCTAGGGTGAATCATCCCCCCGTCCTCGAGCTCCGACGATAATGCGAGTCCCCGCGCACTTTGTACCGTCGAAGGAGGTCAGGTCTTTGTGTCGGATGATATAAATTTATGCGTAAGGAGAAGAGGGCCGGACCGTGAGATATAGCGGTAACGGAGGAAAATGTCATGGTAGAGAGATAAGCGATCGGACGGATTTAGAAGAACAAGTAGGGGAACATGCGAAACGCTGGAGTTTATGACACGGAGATATGTATGCGTGGACATTGTATATTATTGCGATTATTCTTGTCTTTTTTTCATCTTTCTCTGGGATACAAATTGTCTGTGTCGCAACCGGCGCAAATCACATTTTTTAAGCGCGAGATGTTGATATTTTGGAAGATACAAGTGAACTGTATATATAAGATCCATCTTAAACAAATTCTGTAATGTAATATTTAAATATACTCTATCTAAAAATCTTATACAAATTACTTTCTTTATTCATACGTTGAATCTTCCAATTCCTATTTATATTCTATCTGTTATTTGAATTTATCGTTTTACCCAAAATTTATTCCCCACTCGAAATATATAGCTTATTCATGTGCTACAGGAACGAGGGAAATATAGAAGAATATAGCTGTAAGATTATATGGATGTAAATTGGAAAAATCGCTCGCGTGTATTTCCACGCTTCTGACGTCATAATCGAAGATAGCTGACGTAGACATCAAGGACTTTTAAAGACCTTGTTTGGCTTGGATTTGCAAGAATTGATTTTGTATACTTTCAAACAGGTTCTGTTTAATTCGTTGCGCTAATTCGTCGAAGAGAGTATTTCTTACGTCGTCTTCCTTCAAACAGTTTTCTGTCGTAAAACGCTACAACTTTTGCCTCGGTGACACTTTGACGAATATTGTAGGAGTATAGCAGTGTTATTAGCCCCGACGAATTTAATTCTTAATGTCGTTAGCGCGTCTCCATCGGCTTACCATTGTAATTCGTGAACGGACTACGTAATCGCGGCCGAATTTTATAGGGTGGAAGGACGAGGATATCTTCGATATCTTTCCTCATTTTGGCGTAAATGGCGGATGCACGCGCGGGCGCGAATAATTACGTTAAGAATTTTTATTCTGAAGGATTTTACTTTAAGCTCAACGATTACCTTAAAGTTCTTATAAAATCTTAATTTCTCGAGTGCTCGTTATAAAATTTATTTTTCACACAGTCTGAAACGAGACACGAATAATTTTCTTATTATATATAACTTTATACAGTTATAGTAAGATTATTATTAATTGTGAAATTAAGTATCGACCTTGCAAAACAAGTCATTCAATTTTTTTTTTAAATTCTGCAGAAAATGCACAAGACAATTTTTTTTCTCTTTTCACATTTATGTTAAAGTAAGCTTTTTTTTAGAATATATGAAGATGCATTAAAGTAAAAGATTAATTTGAGGCAACCGGTTCCTGATCTTTCGACCGTAGTCATTGTGCCCGTATTATCGTGTTTTAAACGAAGTTTTAAATTTTACGGCTCAACTTTAAAGTCTCAAGTTTCACGGCGAGCCCATTATCTAACGTAATTTACAGTTCCAGAGTAAATCATCTCCGTGATACGGCGCTACTTGGGAGACAGCGCGTTTTGAAGAAAAAGCGATGACTACAAAAGGAACGAGAGTACACGGAAAAGGAATGGAATTGTAAGTCTCACAAGCGGATATCATTATGTGTTATTAACGTCATCTATTACTCATTCGTTATAATTGCTATTCCTGTAACAATTACATATTATTTATATGTGCCGCTATAATTTAGAGCAAAAGTAAAAGAGACTGTGTTAAATGCAGTTTAATAACATCAGACATAAATTTAGACTAATATATCCAAGTCAATTAAAACTCGTTCGGATCCATCAAAATAATGGGCCAAGTTCGTAATTGCATTACGCGGGATAAATGGATTGTTACTGTTAGGAAGAAACATTTATAATCTAAGATCAACTTTTCAAAAACTTCCAATAAAATTCCGTATCAAATAAAAATTCTGTAAATTCTGTAAAAATTAACTTATTGCAATTAATAAAGCATCGCCGCGTTTCCCTTTGCTTTCTGTTTTATTTCAACGACCGCATAAAACGACTGAAGGGTATCTTGGAAAGAAAAGCAACATGGTCTCTTCGCGGGGATGAAATCCATACCACCCACGTGCTATGACGTGTTCGACTTTTACCCTTTGCGCCTCTCGGTGTTTCCAGAGATAACACTCACACACAGATGCGAGACATCCAGCACGAACCAACCCGCGCGCATGCGAGGCGAGACGTAACATATATTTACGTACGCGTCATTTCGCTATACGACGGCCGAAATCGCCCCTTGCTTAATGGAACTACCCTTAACAAAATGGCGACCACTCGAACGAAATTGGGATGTATGGTATCTACACTGGATGCCGCAAATACCTTCAACGCATGAAATCGCAATAATTTTTCGCATACTCGGATGATGAGAGGTTTGTCGGGGAAGAACTCGACATTCATTTAGGGAAGCATTACGAAGCGGCTGGCTCGACAATTTGACGTTCAACGTATCAATAAAATTAAAGATAAATAATAAATCTCATATAATTAATAAAGAAGCAGTTGGAGATAAATTATGTTGAATTTAATGTTTGTTGTGAATCTAATAAAGATAATTTTAAATATGTAAATTTTTAATTTAATTTAACATTTTATATATTTACGCATTATACAGAAATTGTAAATACTGGAAGAATAATTTATTAGTAGGATAAGTATATTTCTTTTTATTAAGAATGTCTTTTTTCAAATTGAACAAAAATGCTAAAAAATAATGCAATTTATTTGATAAAATAAATCCTGAGAATTATGCGGTGGAATTAATATATCAAAATATAATGCTGTAAAATAACACACATTACAAGAAACTCTATACGATTCTAAGAATCTCCAGAATTTTAAGCTGAAAGCTCACATACCACGGGGAGAAAGAGAGAGAGAGAGAGAGAAAAACTCTCAAAATACTCAAATTCAATACTCAAAACATCAACTAAAATTCTAAGAATTTCTAGAATTTTAATTTTTCCGTGGGAGTTGGCACGAATCGTAAACAAGTTAGAAAAAGAGAAGTAACTAATTTCTGTGTCAATAACAAACATGAAACTACAGGAGTTCCCAGAAATACATTTCGACGATTTCATATTACTTACATTTTTTAATGAGAATTAAAAGATATCTCATCATAAACGATTAATTATGCTTCTCCAAAATAGTTTAGAAATTTACGAAAATTTTAAAGAGTCGGGCAAATTCTCGGAGAAGAACCGTTTCCAATAATTTTCAATTGTGCGGCGCCTCATCCGAAACAGGCGGACGTACGGCTGGATTCGAGACGAGCTGGCCGTTTCGTTATTATTCGTTTCGCTCGCTCTCAATTCGACTCGAGCACATCGCTTCGCCGACCATCACCCGTTGCTCGGCAACCTCTGACTCGCGACGTGTCGTTATATGATGGCGGCGGAGGTGGATAACCGATGCGGCTGTTCAGTCTCTCTCTTTCTCTTTCTTCCTGCCTCTCTCTCTCTCTCTCTCTCTCTCTCTCTCTCTCTCTCCCCCTCCCTCCCTCCCTCTCTCTCTCTCTCTCTCTCTCTCTCTCTCTCATCCCATCTTTCTCTTTCCATCTCCCTGTTTGTGCCTCCACTGTTCAGCGAGGCCGTCGAGTGGCACTCGTTGACCAAACGGTCATTACGACAAATGTTGGTTATATCTTGACGACGCCATCAGATACTGCGCGAACTAGCGTGAATCGGAGGGGTTGTATATGGGGTGAACCACCATAACCACCCTTCATAGCGAATAGCGCCGTTGGCACCTATCCATACAAACTGCAGCTGCAGGATTACGCTCGTACGCGTTTGACATAACTTTTGGCCGAGAATATATGTAAAATCGATAACCAGACAATATAGGAGAAAGATATATGTAACAGCACGCGGAAAGTAACAACTTATTCAAGCCGGCTTGAAACGAAAGTGGACCGGATAGTATAAATTTTAAGATTGATAACAATTTATGTCAGGATATATTTGCATACCGCTCCGTTTGAAACGTCATCCGAACTTGTGCGAATAAGAGGGTTAACAATAAGTACTTCAGCAATTGTTAAATTGGCTCTTCTCTCATTACGATGATGAATTTTCCAACTGGGTTAACGACGCGAGAAATTTACTGCATGGCTTCATTCTGAGTGACCGTCTAGTTATCACCATTCTATGCATGTTCTTAAAGTTTACATAAGATGAAACGGAGATCGTAGATTAAGATAGAACTCGTCAAAGGTCATATATTTGAACCCATTAATTACTACGGTATTAATTACTATCATAATCTGTCGCGCAATCTCGCATTCCGAGATGATTAGCAAAGTCCCCCCGTTTTCACAGAGAATACGTCGCGAATATATCTATATCATCTTCATCTATCTCGCAACGGCACGACTGTGCGCATATAATATACGACAGAATATGAAATAAGAAACGAGAGAGAGATATATAATAGAGATAGGAAAATAATAAAATGTTATTAAAAATATGAGAAAGACAAGATTTACTACTGAAAAATTTACTACTGCGCAGGACAACAGGACGTTACGTGGAAAAAATTGTCTAGCTATCATCGCAAGACTTACAGATAATGTGACAGTATTTTGTCACCATTGCAGTTATTGTTTTAATATTGTTTTAAAAAACGATCAGCATATATCTATTGTAATGTAAATTATAGAATACAATTAATAAGACTATCGTAGCCAGAGAGAACGTAAAATTGGTATCTATCGACTTTACGGAGCATAGTTAATTTCGTTTATGTTACGATTCGATATTGTTGCAAGCTCCCGTGAGAAAGTTAGACCGGCGCCCCGCGCGCGCGGACAACATCTGAGAAAATAATCCGAGTTAATTCCAGCGGAGAGCTACACATCTCGCGGGCCAACTTGTAGCGTTAATTCCAAGAGTCTCCCGGAAAAGAGAATGGACACGACCATACGCGATAAATAAATCCAATAAAAGACACGCGAGACAGAGGCGAAATAGAAGAAAACGGGCCGGCCAGGCTAACTGTGGAGACGGAGAGGAGACACACCGATAAACGGAGGCAAAGACAGAACCCGAGGCGCGGAATAGCGCGAGGGCAAGAAGAGAGAGACGTGGACGTGGATGGGAGGGACGATGGGGGGACGATGGGTAGGAACGTCACGGGAGCGAGACGCACGATGGTGGAAGGGGCTGGTGGAAGGGGATGGCGCGCGCTATCGCGAACCCCGCCGGCGAACGCGGCAGGATGCCGAGGTCGACGCTATCGATTGGCGTCGGCGTTTCCTCGTCGGTATCTAGCGGCCGATGCGCTCTCTCTCTCTCCCCCTTTCTCCCTCTTCTTCTCCCACACATCCTCCTCTCTCTCTTTCTTTTCTTTAGCCGCGAGGGGCAAACGGGGGGATGGTTTTGCCCTCAACGCACCCCCTCGTACCTTCTCTCCATCTCGCTCCGTCGCTCGCTCTTCCGTCCTTCCTCCTCAGCCACCCACCGCGGTAACAGGTGTTGGTCTGGCCCCGAACTCGTACAAAATCGATGGGCGAGAGCCAGATCGGCGTCGCGAGAGGTTTCCCGATCCACACCCCCGCTCGCCGTCTCCGCTGCCGGCCTTTTCCCCCTTAGCAACCTCCGCTCTATCCCCTCGATCAAGGAAGAGGAGAGGGTGGCGCGTATAAGAACGGGGGAGCGAGAACGAGAGGGAGGACGCGCCACAGCCGACGAAGAGGCGACGACGAGAAGAGGGTTGGAAACGCGAGTTACGCGGCAGGGAGAGAGGGGGGGGGAAAAGCTGCACACGAGCGCGGCGGCGAGGACGCAGGCGCCCGGGACGCGGGGCGACGCTCGTCGGCGACGCTGCATTGGCAGTTGCACCCCAGCCACACCCGGTACGAGCCATGTAGTCGGGCTACCCTCCACCGCGATACACGGCGGACAATTGTTGCTTCTGCGCCTACAGGTGGTACATCTTCGTCTTCGATCTTCGCGGAGCTCGTCGGTACTCGCGTCCGCCGTCGCCAGGTGCCCGAGGATTCCGCCGTCGTCCTCGTCATCGTCGTCTCACCGTCGTCGTTCTCACCGTTGTCCACATCTTCGTCGTTATCATCGTCGCCGTCGTTGTCGTCGTCGTCGTCCTTGTCGACCCGTCGTTCGTTCTCGTTCCACGTCACCGCCGCCGCCGCCGTCGTCGTCGTCGTCGTCGTCGTCGTGTGGCCATCGAGGTGCTCGTTGTCGTGGTTACGCCTCGTGTATATCCGTCCGCCGTGCGAGACTACCGGTAGTCCGCGTGCCCGCTGAGCGAGCCATCGTCGACACGCTGCGTCAGGATCCCGGTGCCGAGGCTTCCGGCAGGAAAATATAAAAAAAAAAAACGAGAGAGAATCGCGTCGGTGACGCGAGTGGTGCCCGCGGTGAAGCCAGGGGTAGTACGGGTAGCTTCGGGCGCGCTCGTCAGCCAACTCGCTTTCGACTACGACTGTGTGCACCGCGTATAGGGTAGCGAGAGCGCGAGAGAAACGGGGGTTGCAAGGGGGTGCGCGCGGGATTTCCGGGGTCGCGGAGAGGGCTAGAGGGAGCTATCGACCACATGTAAGGCGGCGGCGGCAGCGCTTGCACACACCGGCGCACACGGATACACAACATCGCGGACCTGTTGTCCAACTTGTTGCTCGTCCCTGCGAAGGCACACCCGCCCATCTCCGGAGTCGAAGGAGTGCTTGTTTTCGAAAAAGGAGGTAGAGCCGGTCGCGAGAAATCGGCGTCGGATCGCATATCGAGACGCCGCGCTCCGAACGAACGAGCTCCGGCCACCCCCGGAAACACGGACGAAGAAGGCGAGGATGGAAATACGGCGAGATTGAAACTCGAGGCTCTGAGGGAACGTACGTTTTCGACAAACGGGGATTTCAAGTTGGATTTCAAGCGAGGAAGGAAAGAGGAAATTTTAACGAGGATGGATTAATACGATTTTTACCCTCAGTGTATAATTTTGTGCAAGCTTAATACAGTGTTCGTTTGTTCGGAATATATTGGATCCTATACTTCGTGAGAAAATTAGGATTCATCCTGTGAGACTTCCGCTCTTTATGAGTCAAGAAGAAGACATCGAGGAAGATTAGATGCGGCAGAAGGCTCCACTCTTTCATTCTCAGAGCATAATATTCGTTTCCTACAACTCAAAGGAAACTAATGGCGCGCGCCGAGTAATTCAGAGGACCAACTTCTTATAGAAACTCAGCTATTCCTATCGAAGCTCTCGAAGTCATTTACTGTGAACACCAGAGCGTCGGTTAGACGTCACTAGAGAGCTTGCAATTGACGAAGATAAACAGGCCCGACTTTGCCAATAAAGTAGCGGGTAATCGTATTTTAATCGCATCTCTTTCGATAATCAAACGAGATTTTCCTCACCGAGGATCAGAGAAACTCGCATACATCGTTCACCGAGAAGTTCTCAATCGTCCATCGGTCAGAAGCTCCAGATCCTGTCGCGATGAGGATATCGTCATCAAGACACGCACGTCCCGAGGCAGCGACGTCATCGGGAATCGGCGTGACGAGACACTGCCTGGAACAACCGGGCGAGTGAATCTCGCGGAGCCAAGAGCGACGGAAGTCCCAACGTGGATTCGCGTACTCCCGGTGACGCATGTACTTGCGGAAGCAGCGCAGGATAACGTATTCGCGACGGTGAAGCAGAGGAAGAGAGAAAAAAGAGAGCGAAAAAGAAGAGAGAGAGAGAGAGAGAGAGAGAGAGAGGAGGAAGGAAGGAGAGGAGAGAAGGGAGATAAGCTAGATGGATAGAACGTGCACGTAGGACGTATGCGTACGTTTTGCGAACGACAAGATACGCGGCGGGCATGAGGCCGGCGCCGTAGAGCATGTAAATCTTCCACCCGTGAATATACAACGAAAGCAATACTACAAACAAGGTAATCTCGAGGGACAAAGCAAAGGCACACACTTTCTGCCACCACCCTCCCATAATTTCGCACCTAATCTCGCCCTCTGATCGCGCTTAGGGATCTATCCCGAACCGAGACGCCGCGATACTATTTCCCCCGCTCGGACTCGATCGCCCACGATCAACAAGCTCCTCCCAGCTCCTCGCTTCACTTAAGAGATATTTTAATATGAATGTATACACGCGCATATATAGACACCGCGATCGTACGAGCGCTCACTCTTATCCCTGTATATAGTTATACAAATATATATATATATATATATATGTATATATATATATATATATATATATATATATATATACATATATATACATTTATACGCAGAGTCCTATTGAATAATCGTGCAACGACGTTTAGAATTAAATCAAGCGATATCGCTGAGATAGCCATCTCGAGCTGAGCATTTTATCTTCCCTAAGGAGAGAGTCGTCCTCGCTTCTCCTTATTACAGGGAGGAATTTCGAGTGGAAGGAATTCTGATAGAAACAGTCGGCCGCCAATAGATCGATACGAGACGACCATGTCGCATCTCGGGATATCTGAGAGGAAGCGCGCGAATGGGATGGGATAAATAACTGGAGCGTCGATTGAGAGATCGATTGACGTCGTGTGTGCCTGGTGAAATCTCCACATAAATCATCAGGAAGATAAATCTAGCGTTTTCCCCAAAAAACGAAAACGAGCGGCAGGACGGTATATTATATTAGTTAACGGTATATTAAACGATATATCGCAGTGTATCGTTTGCCGGCGAGGAGTCGGGACTTCTGCAGAAAAAGATTTGCGCGATATCCGCGATTGATACTTTCTTGATCGTGGCACGAGAAAACGCGCTCGCAATAAAGTACGCCGTCACACCGGGAGGACACCGAGGAAGGAAGAAGCTCAAGAGGGTTGTGTTTACCCTACGCCGGTTGTTTGGTGATCTTAGAGCGATATTTCGATATTAATCCTCGGTGAGAAGAGAGAGCGACGATCAGCCAAGATGCCGCGGTGCTATATGGTAAAGAAGGCCTTGTGCAACAAGTACATAACCAGCGTTGCCAGAGGATTCGAGAGCTGGGGCCGCGCAAGGAGCACGCCATCGCCAACCATCATGCCGTTGCCCTTCTCGCCCGTAGAGGGATACATTGCGTCCCCTGTTGCACAAGGTACGCTACACCAATAATCCTAAACTGGACAGGACTGAAATGAGATTAAGATCATCCCTGACAACACGATGTCTGAAATCGAGACATGAGACGTCTTCGAGACGTCATTGAGACATTGAAACGTCTTCAAGACGTCTCCATGTTTTGGGCATTGTCCTAAAAAAAACGCGGTTACTTTTTTTATTTTATTTTATTTTTGTAATTGTTTCAGCGCTTTAGCGGTATGTTATGATATTCACTTTGGCGTATAGCGCCGGCCCGATATATGCGTTTATATCGAATTATCAAGTGATAATGGTGCCACGCACGCCGTTGCGCACCGCGTAATTCTCGACAATGCGTTACCTGGTCGCAACAAAACGACCTTAATTGTCGGAATTCTCCGTGGCGTTACTACTTGTACGGCGCATCCGCCTCTTGTGTGAACGGCGAAAATGGTATGCGAAACTTGTCGAGACAGTAAATGCAGTTACAAAGGCGGTGCTCAGAATCATCGTAATGGCAATGCGCGTTTATAGCATCTCGTCGGCACAAAGAGGCGAAAATTTCGAACGTTCGCGCGTACGAATAATTTACAATTGACCCAAATCGTTATTTGCGGAATCGTTTAAAAAAATAACGAGTCTCTTTATCGAAACTTTGTTGGACAGTTTGAATAATGTCCATGTAATAATTATTGAAATTAATTAAAATTGACGTTTACCCAAATATCTTAAAGTGTGTTAACTTGTGGGATGCATAATTGCAAAGTTAAAAAATTCAAAATAATTTTCTTTCTTCCTTTACAGTTTTTAGCTATTTATAAAGAGGAAAATGAAGAAAGAACAAAATCTTAATTCAATAATTTTTTATTGTATATATTTTTTAATAACTTATATTTTAATAAATATCTCTCATCCATATGCTATATAGTTTTGCAGTCGCGCAACTTGCGACAAAAATTTTGCACGTATCCGAAGTTGATACAACTTTTTTATACCACATAAATAAAAGTAATACAGCACGAAAGGCGGAACATCTGCATTCGCGTAGTATTCGTAGCTGTCGATCCTTTCGCGAGTAGCGAGACTCTTCGTGATCACAGTAAAAATTCATTCCGCTCGCGAAACGTACAGAAACAACGACGCAGAAATATTAAAACAGATCGGCCTGACGGCGTAAGAGAAGTCGGTTGCTGTTAAAACGAAACGTGCGCTTTCATAACCGAGTTATCGTGAAATTTTATATCCGCTTAGTCTAGGAGACCTTCTTGGTTCTCTACTCCTGTCCCCTTTGACCTCGTTTCTAAACATATTTGTCGTCATAATCCCACTACCCCTACCTTCGCAATCCGTACCGTGCATCCCCCCCTCCCCTCTATCATCCGTTTATCGCTGCACTTCCTCCTACCACCATCAAGGTTCGACACTCTTTACTATCACGCCGGTAACGAGAATCGGATACCCTTCTTTGGTGTCCCATTTAAAAGCCCGCGGGATCGTTAAATCTCGAAAAAAGTCAAATAAAAGCAAAGAAACGAGTTCACACGTTGCTGCGATATATATGTTAGTAAAGACATTTTGCAGTAACATGAACTTATATATTTTCTTTTTATTCTGTTATGAGCGTGGTCCGATTAAAGTTATCATGTAGGTACGCGAATGAATTAAGCCTAATCTTTATATGTCCTACCAGAATATCGCTGTACGCCACCAAAAGACACAACGGCCATCACGACTTCCGCCGTGGCCGATGCAGAACCTTCGAAGGAACAACCGAGCGACACAGACACGTCGACTGTCGCGACAACAGTGACGATGACACCATCGGCATCCGTCATTACGATGGCACCATCGTCATCCGTCATCACGATGGCACCATCGTCATCCGTCATCACGATGGCACCACCGTCATCCGTCATCATGCCGACACCCACGACGGACTATTCGATGACGACGCGAATGGAGACGACCGTCGTGATTGCGTGCACCACCACGACGTCTTTGACGACTCTGTCTTCGACAGAAACGATTGTCTCTCCCATCGAGGAAATTACAACGACGACAGTGATGCCCTTACCTCCGTCGGTCGTGCGAACGACCCCCGAGAGACTCGAAGAGACCACGACGACGTCCATCGCGACGCTACACCATCCACCGTTCATCAAAGAACCGTCTCCGCCGTCCAGCACGCCGACGTCCTATCACTTGGAGGATACCCCGGAGTATTCGAGAACACCCGACTCTAGGATACGATTGGTCACCTCGTCTTGCGGCATGCCCATGTCCGACAACGTGTCGTCGTCCATGTTTAAAGACCGCTCCCCGGCGGAAACGGAGGCGGCGCACGACCTCTTAGAGCTCTCTCGATCGCTACCTCCGTTGCCGCCACCGAGCGTCGCGATCGGTCCTCACAACGTAATTGAGGCGCCAGCGACCGACGTCCAGGAAATGACGGTCTATCAACCGCCTGAGCAACCGATCTACCAGGTGGACACAATCGACCTGGCCAGCTCAACGATTTACAGCCATCATCATCAACAGGAGCAGCAGCAACAGCAGCAACAGCCCGCGGCCGGTATCATTTACGAATCCAGCGCGACTATCGTGCCATCCTCGAGTAACGTTTTCATACCTCTGTCACCGGTACAAGAGATCCTGCTGACGTACAACACATCTAGCATACCGTGCACGTCGATCGTCGCTCAAGAGCCGCAGCATCATCAGCCACCACCGCAGCAGGAACAGCAGCAGGAACAGCTGCAGGAACAGCAGCAACAACAGCAGCAGGAGCAGCAGCAGCAGGAACAGCAACCGCAGCATCAGCAACAACAGGCATTGCCACAGCAGCAACAGATCGAAGCGACGCCACCCCTAACGCCGCCGACTTCCGAGTGCAGCAGCGATATCGAGAACAGCAACCCAAACTCGCAGCCGACGCAGAGAGACAAGGAGGTGCAAACCATCACGGAGCAGACGGAGGGAGTGAAACCGGCCAGTTACACGTACGACACATTGCTCGTCTCGGACGGCAGATCGAAGAACAAGAGAAGAGAGCCCGCGCAAAAGAACCCAGAAGCTGAACCAATCGAGGCGCCCGAGACCTCCAAGACCGGTCGTTACGTGTGCTGCGAGTGCGGTGAGTAGCGTTAATTGAATTAACTCCATTTGTAAGATTATATCTTAATATATTATTTATATCTCTTAGGGCCGCGATTTCACCACCTCCGATTCACCACCTTCGATTAAACTCATTCTTCATTTCTTTCTATAAGGAGGACAGTTAGAAAGAGTAATTTTAATCGAAGGTTACAGTTAATCGACGTTGGTGAAACTGGCCCTTAATAAATTTATGAGATTAATTTAGATCTCGACGAATATCGCCGAGATGATAATGTCCGGGCGCACCTTAGCCAATATTACCACGAATGACTCACTTCACGTCAATCCCATGTCAACTCGCGCGTTTCCCTTCCCTTCAGGCAAGCAATACGCGACTTCGTCGAATCTGTCGCGGCACAAGCAGACGCACCGCAGCATCGACTCCCAATCGGCCAAGAAGTGCATCCACTGCGGCAAGGCGTACGTCAGTATGCCCGCCCTGGCGATGCACGTGCTGACGCACAAGCTCACGCACAGCTGCGGCGTGTGCGGCAAGATGTTCTCGCGGCCCTGGCTGCTGCAGGGCCATTTGCGCAGCCACACCGGCGAGAAGCCGTACGGATGCGCCCATTGCGGCAAGGCGTTCGCCGATCGCTCGAATCTGCGGGCGCACATGCAGACGCATTCGGCGGACAAGAACTACGAGTGCGCCAAGTGCCATAAGTCGTTTGCCCTCAAGTCGTACTTGAACAAACACCTGGAGTCGGCGTGCCAGCGCGAGAACGAGGACAGCAACGACATCGACACACCGCCATAAGCAGCCATAGTGCCGGGTTGCCGTTGAACCGGCGCCGCGACAAGCGGCAGGTAGGTTTCTCGTTCACCGCGGCGACTACGCGACCCGAGTTCTCGTTTCTTTTCGAAGATTGACAAAAATCGATTTACCTATAGTTTTCTCGTAAACGACGTTTGTTCACGTCGGACGATTGTTTCGCTTAATTACATTTGCGACAGAGTCTAATATTACACAATAACGCGAGGGGGTTGTGAAACCTGCTTACACATCAGCCGCGATCGATCACAACTATTCTCGCATTTAGACCTAACAGCACGCCCGAAATAAAGCGCGCTCTGTGCTAACCGATCAATCCGCAATTTGCAGCCGGTCGTGCACGACGTAAACTGAAGATTAGAGCGGCGTCATCACGTTGACTGGTGAAAAAAAATAATAGTTCGCTGCGTAGACAGTACTTTTGCTCATGGACCAAGAAAGAAAAAAGGATGAAAGATGAACGAACGCACCCCTGGGAAGCCGCTGCTGGTCTTTCATCGCCATGCGGATGCGATTGGTTTCGATTGTTTTGCACTGGAATTCGAGTCAGTCGGGTCTATCGTTGCGCTTGATTACGGCAGCAAGTCCTCATATTCCCTTTGTCTCCGCTGCAATGCCCGCGGAGCTAAAAAAAAATTAAAAAAAAAAAAAAAACTCGCACTTCTAAAGCTCGAAGTCGGGTTTAACGTTAAATTCTCGGATACTCGTTTGTGAATTTGAAAGTGTCGCAACGCTACACAGGCATTCCCACAAGCAGTCAATATTAACTTTTAGTCGAACTGTTTAAATACCCGAAATCGATGTTTTCATGCAATTCAGAGTCTCTCTTATTGTTGTCCGCCAATTTACGAAAAGCCTTTCGGCTTTTCTTCTTCCTAAAGCAAAATATTTTTTCTCTTTGAAAGAGTATTAATACGATTGTAATTGCATTTTGAATCCAGATCTCTCGGATAACTTGTAAGAGCTCTGTTCTCTGCTAATCCAGGTTTGGATTGGATCGGGAAACACGCGAAGCGGTAAGAGAGAACTTTCAATTAGTCGATAAGATTTTGCTCGAAATTACAGAATGGGCTAATGACTTGCTGTCGTTGTTGAGAAGAGCCTCGGCTCTTTTGTGCATCATAGACGACGATCAGACGTCGAGTCACCGGTAACATCCAATTTCAACGAGTATCTCTCGGTAAGCGCAAAGTGATTCGATTTACTTGCCGGCTTAAACGTCGCGGATGAGCGGACGCGGGCGAAAATCTCAGGCTGAGCGGAAACGAGGACGAGAGAAGGTAATTGACATATCGGCGTCTCTGGATCTCGCGCTCGTCTCTTCCTTCTCTCGCGGGAAGAGGAATTTCTCTGAATATTTCACCGCGCACTGTTTCTTTCGGTTCCAAGCACATATTCGGGATATTTTTAGGATTGTTTTTTCCGATTTTTCTCGATGTTGAGAGTGCGGAGAAGAGTCTCGCGAATTGCCGCGCGCGGATCTCCGACGAGCGAATAAATATATCGTTGATAAATAATGAAAATTGAAAAGCTAAACGGAGGTGGTGGTAATGGTATGTGGAAGTAATAAAAATACAAATTGCGGGATAAAGGGAGACATCTGGAATTTCACTATTTTCGGCAAAATACAAAAAAATGTTGAGAGGTGATCGCGGCAGTCAGTGATGTCAAACTCAAGTACTTTTATGTTGCATATCGTATTGTTGATTCGGCGACAAATCAACGTGATATGCATTTATAAAATTTGAAATTGGACGAGAGTGCACTTGAAATTTTTTTTTCTATTTTTTTTACCGTACCACTTTTATCCATTATTGGATAGTTTCGCCAACGTCACAGTTTGCTAGAATCTAATTTAAGCGATTCTTTGTCTTTCTATAACATTGAAACTAGAACGGAGAATCGATTAAACTGAGGACTCAAACTTGATGAAACTGGCCGGTTACTTTTTCAGTCGCTGCCGAGGAACGATAAAGTTTTACGATAAAGTTTCATATAAAATGCACTTCTATTTCTCAGTAAAAACCGTGCTTAATTTCTACAAAGTGCCGTAACCTAGCGGTATTAGCGTACGCGCTTCAAAACTCGTGCGATCTCGATCGTTGAGAGATCTCTTTAATGCACAGAGAAACTTCTTTTCCACCGGCGAGTAGATCTGTATTTTGATTCGCGCTAGTCGTTTTAGGTAAGTCTGCCGTGAGGATGCTCCGACATAAAGTGATATCAATGTTTCAAAATGTTTTTGGCCGTCTTCTTGCCGAGAATCGATACGATAATATCGCAGATGCATCTCACTTCGTGAATTCGTAAAAATGACGAATCGAGATGCTTTCAGAATGAGCAGCGATAAAGTCGATCGTAGACGAGGTATAAGTGCAATACCTTTCCCGTAGCTTATAAAAGCTCACTTTTTTCATCCATCTTTGCTCGACGATAAAGATTCGCTCGTTGTTCTCTTCCGGGAAAGAAAGATCCTGCGTAATAAAAAAATATCTTTACTACAATTTTATTTACCAGAAAAGCGCACTGCAAATCCAAGTATATTATTTTTCCACGCTTAAACGTCTAAAAATGACACATTAGATTGAAACTCTTTTTACATGTTTCTTTATGTGTTAAATTACATCATTTAATTAAATGATGTAATTGTATTAAATTAAAAGTTGATAGGTTTAATAGTGTTAAATGACGTGATTTAAGGAGGTTCTACAGGTACTCTCTAGTCAGTTGAGAGATGAAGAGAAAATCTTTAAATTCATCGATTCTAAGTATTTATAAAACATTTTCGTGAATTTTGATGACGTTAGAGCTTATATCATACCCATATTAGTCGAAGCGAGAAATAATTAAAAATATCGTGTAAGTGCTCCTTTGACTCTGGCGGCTTATAATGAAAGAAAATGTGGTAACGTCGCGAACTTGACAGTTCTGCTCATATGACCGTGGTTATTTCACAATTTCACATAATTCTAGAGCGAGTACTTCTCCGTAAGCGCTCGTAAACGTTAGGTGCTTAAGTTTGAGGTGCTGTCATACTGTGGTGCTGTACTGGCTGTACACTTTTCGCGCGGGTGCAGTCGCTGCGACATTGCCAAATCTCCCTTGTTATTCGAAGCACGCTACGTGAACTGTGATGTGGCCTGTTTCAATAGCCAATATTACAAAATTTTACGCGATAACCCTTGTTTTTCTCGATATTTCTGAAAAGCTTAGATTAAGATCTATAAGAGCTCCGTTTTTTGAATCTCTGGTAGGTCGCCTTTATATAATTAATATCTCGTTTCCTGTCTCCAAGAGCCCCTCTGCCATATGTAGCTTATGTTAAAAACTGTGATTTCAAAATTCATTTTTGCAAATTTTTACACGGTAAACGATGCTAAAATTTTTCGAGCACTTTTCTCGCATCTCAATTTATACGTCCATAAAGTTTTTTCCAATTTTTAGATACATCCATTATCTGTAGAACCTCCTTAAAACGGCAAGAAATGTGTAAGAAGAGCTTCAGCTAAAATAACACACTTGGATTTGCAGTGCGATCTCTTGAAGCACTGGAATTAGACACTGGGATTTAGAAACTGAAATTAGAAGCTGATGATATACATAGGCTACGGCAAATTGAATTATCGCTCTATATTTTACCTTAATTTAAGAGTATTTCGAATATATAACTCTCGCTGCACCGCGGAGCAAGCTCTCTCCCGTGCATTTAAATGCGCTCTCGCGCGCGATTTTCGCCGTGGATCCTTAACGTAACGCACGCGGATACTCGCGGAAAGTTTTCATCAACATTTCACGTAAACTGGGCCACCTGTTGAATGCAGAAATGACCATTCGGTGGCAAAAGGGTCGGTCGTACTGCTCCCCTGAATTATGGAACACATCATTTCCTCGGTTGTTAAAAGCGCGAACAAGATCGCGGTCAACTGCAACGTTTCATCGAAATTTATCAATGCTTTTTTTCCGGAGCTGCGAGAATCGCGCGTCGAGAACGGAAACCGCAGAGAGTATCGTGATCTCTTTATCCGGAAGAGGTGGCACCGTTTACAAACGTGCCCAGAGATTATTTTTAAGATATTTATTAACTTATCTTGAATTTTTAGTATTTAAAATGTGACGAAGTTGAGATTGAGAATTATTTTTTTTAGTGAATTCTTGTTTTATCGCATTGTTATCAAAGTTTCTACAGATTTTATACAATTTTAAGCTTTAATCAGATTCTTTTATTGATTTATTTATATATATGTATATATTATTTATGTGTTGAATCTAAAAACTCGAATCGGGATTAACGAAAATTGTTATTCAATTAATTTATTTTATTTCGTAATTCGATTCGTTATATCTAGTCATACGGCGTCAACTGTGAGAAGAGACGCAAATCGTCTGTCTTTTAAAGCAATATAATAAAATGTCTCGCGTAACGGGTGTATATATAGCATGACATACTAAAACTGGATATATTGAGGGAGATAATACCATTGCTTGGAAGGTTATTTTCCCGTGAAAGCTTCGAGCAAGAAGAATGAAAAAAGTGGATCGCACGCGAGTGCATTTTATAGAACGGTGCAATCCACAACGTCATACCAAAGATATGACCAAAAAAAAATGAAGAAGAAAGAGCAAGGGAGAGGAGCAGGGGGAGGGTGGAATTAAGAGGAGAAGAAAAAGTACTTACGATCTAGTCAACAAGTTGCGCTTGAATTACATCCTTTTTATCTTAGTTGCCTAAGGCGGTCGCATGTATAAATGAAGAGGAAGTGACGCTTATTCTTTCTCGACACGTATATTTTATCTTACTTTCCCCTTATTGTGCCGTCTAAAGCGTTTCTAATATAGCTTAGAGATATTTTGGTACGGGAAATTTTACGAGCGACTGTGTATAAGATATATAGCGGAGCAGATTGATTGTGTTTAATTAATTGAACATAATACGCGGCCCGACGTACACCTTATATCGTTGAATGAGATTAAAACGCTCGGTTAAAATGTGAGAAAGAAGGAGAGTTTTAGTGATTTTAGTTAGTACAAACGTATCAACACCAAAGGAAGTTAACGACATGACACCCCGATCGCTTTTTCGTGAGACGCCGCCGCGCCGTAGAAATCGTGGCGACAAAACGAACGGGAGGAGAGAGAGGGATCGGCGTTTTTCCGGAAGTCTCCTACTTACGACTCATTTTCTCTTCCTCTCGGGAACGCGACGGGCAGATAACGTCGAGGTGCATTGAAATGTAAAAATAAGATATGAGAAGCGCGCGGAGTAAAATGTGCAACACTACCATTAAAATAATAACTGCGAGAAATAACAAAATTAGAACGCCGGATGTGATGGCATAAAATAACTGAGCTGAAAAAAAAAACAAATAAATATTTTTCCGTTTTTTAATATACGTGTATTAAAAACAGAGTGCATCGATTATTGCAAACTGAAAATATCCGGCGCGAGATGAAATGATTTCACAGAAGTTAAAAGCGTCTCTCGTGTAAACGAATTCGACCTATTTCCGCTGGATTCGTTTTTGACATTTAACGCTCGTATTTTGTTCTTATATTTCGTGCCTCGACTATACACGCAAGTCATCTCGCAAGAAAATAGATCTTTATCCATACGGAAGAAATCACACACGAAACGCACGTAGTTCTGCAGCTCGGCCACGTTTTTCGTAATATTTGAGATTAACTATAGACACTCGTCTCTTATACTGTATTACAATACTCGACAGTCAATCGAATCTATAATTAATAGTGTAAATTGTAACGGTAGTCAATAATAGAAAAAGAAGGAACGAAGGAGGATGGTGCACATATGGTCCACGACTGCCCCTATAGTTGGGTCCCAAGTGAGTTCCGTCGATCGGGGGATACGTGAACATCGCGGCGCGGTTTACGGTAGTTTTAGTGTCGCGAACAAGAAAGGTGACAAGAAGCGAAACGATGTTTCGTGGCACGATTTCGTGCGCCTTGCGTATAATCAAATAGTTTTTCAACTTGAAACTTACTACGATGCAACAAGGTGACGACGTATATCTCTGCTTTCGTTCGTCAAAACGTGCAATTTTTCTCGTTTATAAAGTGAATTCTCGCACATTTTCGAATTTATATCGACGTAGTGTCTATTTACATCATTCCCGGAAAAAAATGATTAAAATGATATGATAAAAATTATCGTAAAAGTTATCACTAAAAGTATGTTAAGATAAACAATGTTGTCAAATTATTCGATTTTATTTCTGCTGGAAATTAAGCCCTACAATTTTCTTTGCTTCAACACTGTCAGAAAAGCGAAATCCTGCCACAAACTCGACACATTTATCGGCGCGATATATTCAACGATAATTATTTAATAGGAAGAAGAAGAAGACTCTGTCGTAACGGGGTGAGGGCGAATCGTCAAGAGAGTAAGATTGCAAGCCACAGAACTGATATACTCGTAAACGCGAAATAAATGCGGGCAGTCGTTACTATTTTTTAGATATGCAAATGATTTAAGCCAGGCCCCAGAGGACGATCATGCCTCATACGTTTCTCTGTCTGGGGGAAATAATTCTTACCGCATGTCGGATTTAGAACTGACAATGAGCGAGACCGACGTTGACTTCAAAATCGGCCGATTTTATCATACATGTCTTAAAGAGTTTTAAAGATGTCTTTCGACGTCTATTAAACACGCGGGTTGTCTAGGGAACGCATTCGTCTTGGCATATTTTCGTTTTATGAAACGAACGGATGTGGCATCGCTTCTAAACAGATTAATCCTTATTCGAGCAACAAAACAATTGTCAAAAAAGTCACTTATACATAGAAATGTAATATTACACAAAATTAAAAATTATTTTATATATGTATAATTAAAGTAAAATGTATTAATATTATGTTAATTATATTACGTATATATTAATTGTATTTCGTAGCTATAAATATATATATACACATATATGTTTTTATACAACCAAAGATCGCGCGGAATTTTATAAAACTGAATTACATTTACCTTGAAAAAGTTCGTTTCGTGAATTTTATAGCGGGTGTTGCAGACCGATGTCACCCAGATAAGAGTTAAGAGTCTTAATTGCGAAAGGATACATTCGTTTGTCTTTTTCTCAATCTTCTCATTAATATTAAGCAAAGTTAATTAATTACATTTGTATCAATCTGTCTCTTTGTTCTGCGAAACTTTGTTATGACAATTTATTAAGTGTTTTAATATAAGTTTATTAAGGGCGATTAAGTCGTACGGAGAGAAAAGAAAGGAGCACCCGATAAAAAAAATTGCAAGCAACAATAATATATGAATGAAGGAAGAAACTGAATGGACGCGCATTAATATAAAGACTCCCAATTAAAGAGGACCAAGTTGCTAAAACCGTTTCTATGCCGCGCGTACGCGGCGGATTTAACAATTGTAGTATATATCGTTTTCGAAGTGATAAGAATCGTCAATATAAGCGATAGAGAGAATAACTCACTCAACCAACTGAATGTTAAATATATCGAAGATAAAAAAGAGAACAACGAAAATGTGACAAGCATTGTATACACGTAAATATAAATA